TGTCGAGAGTACCAACATCGAGGACCTCGACTCCGATGGCGTCAACAACGTCAGCCGCGACGACGGGGACGACCATGCTGAGGGTCTAAAAGACGAGAGCACGAGACCTGAGCAACCACCACTATCCTGCATCACTAAACCAGGAGCCCACGCGGGTGATAAAGGAGGTCATGTTTTCACAGGGGCCACTTGCTGACCGGCGCGCATGTCCGCAAGAAGTGCATAAGACCAGAACCAAGATCCTATGGCCGACGAAGGAACCCGACGAGTCCACCCACCCCATTCTAACCCGTGGCCGGACGATTAACCACCAACGCAAGCTACGATCAGGACCGAGATGGCCGGACTCATTATACCGGATTCTACCGCCGACGATGCGCAACGGGGAACCTCCTGCACGAGCCCGCCGCCAGGAGGCGACTGGTCGTGGCTGTCCACCACCATTGAAGAAATACGAGGAAGCCTTCACTTGGGTGAGAGTCATGGTCCCCACACTGGCGACGACCAAGCCGGACCACTGTACAGTTTCCGGTTGTTCAGAGACCGCCGGCCACCCCCGGATGGTCGTTTCGGCCCGCTGCGAACAGAACTAACCCCACCACCGCCACGGGATCTCCAACCCAATCCGGCTACTGTCCTCCCAGGAGAGCTGCGGCCCCACGGCTCTGATTTCCCACCACCCACAGTACCGTTGGAAGACCTCCTGGCACCCTCGCGATCCCGCCGGGGCGAGATAGAGGACACCCTCATCGAATTTTTCGATGAGTTACCGGAGGACCTCTTCGATTGCACGCCGGGCGACTTCCAAACCCGGCCCCCCGAGCTGCCAGATGACCCCTTCAACGGTGCCACGGGTGGTTCTGAAGCCCAATCCCACGAGGGCCTAGTCGAGCAGCAGATGGAGGCAGGTCCCCGACTCCAGGGCCGTTTGGGGCTACCTACGAGCTCATCTCCAGCGACGAGACAGGGTCGGAGACAGACGATCGCATGGACGACAACGATGACAGCGATGCCACCGAGTCCGAGGTCTCCACGCTGGAGGAGTGCTCCCTGCCCACCAGTGAAAGCGACACAATTGTAATCCTCGACTCCGAAGACGACAGGCCACCACCCTGGACCGCAAGCGCCCACAACAGTCCACCGAGGACGCCACCGCCCTCCTACGAAGAGATCTTCGGACCGGGACCATACTCGCCACCCCCGGACACCGGGAGACTCCCAGTGCGATGCGCAGCCAGTCAGGCGCAAGGGACACAGCTGCCGACACCGCCCGCCGAAGAGCATAGGAACTCAGCGACGAACTGGGCACCACGTCTTCCTCACTATGGAGAAGAGGCGGAAATCGGCCACCAACCCCACCCATTGCTAGGCGAGGGCACACACGTCGCGCACCTTGGGCTGACACCACGAGTGGTTCCTCGTCAGAGGAGGAACGAACCGCCGGGGGCAGAATCAACACACCGGGGACCAATCAACCTTTCATCGAACATGCCCAGTGGGTACCCGCACCCTCGGGCTGGGTCACTCCAAATGGCTCGCTACCAGCGCCATTGATCGAGCGGATCCAACGACGCCTCGGAGGAGCAAGAAGGCGGGCTTTACGCTTTTTGGAGGAGGAACGGGGCCAACGATTCCGGGTCCAAATCAACCGGGACGATCGCGTCCTCATTTTCCTACAACCCACCAGGAAGTAAGGGGGGAGTGTGACGAAGTCACAAATTTGACATAAGCATATAAGCACATTAGCATAAGATTTAGTTTAAGAGGGCACAAAGCCACACGTTATCTAATTTAAGAGGGCACGAAGCCACACGTTATCTAATTTAAGAAAACACGAAGCCACAAAGTCAGTTATATGTTAAGAGGGCACGAAGCCACAAAGTCAGATATATGTTAAGAGAACTAGAAGTACAAAGAAAACTAAGAGACGAAGAGCAAGCACCGATCAAAGACGGCAGCCGCGCTGCTCCCACAAGCCAAGGAGCGAAAGAGACCACCAACGACGCGAGCAGCTCTGCCGCCAAAGTTTCCAGCTGCGCTGTCGCCGAAGTTTAAAACAGCGCTCTCGCGCAAAGCAGCGCTGTCCCGCAGTTTTCGGCAGAATTAGGTCCCAGGAATCACGATCAGAAAAAGGGGGGGAGTCGAGAGTAAACCAGCGAAGTGATCGGACGCGAAAGTGACAAGTAACCAGAGGACACACATCGAGGCGCTCCGCTGCGGGTGAGCATGGCCGCCGGCCAACAATGGAACTGCTAGAACCTTTTGGAACAAATAAAAGGACGAATAGATCACCCCTCTTCTTTTCCTCGCGTACCCCGGGACCTTCAACTAGGACTCTCCGCCGGGGTGCCTGATCCTTCTTCCTGTGACCGCTAGACCATTTCCGGGTACAGGACTCGTGTACGCGCCGCTGGATTATTCCGGGCCGGACAGAGGCATTGGCCGCAGGAGCATTCCGGGCCACAGCAGTAGCCGCCGATAGCCCTGCTGGCTCCGCATAGTCCCTAACAACCCCACCTTGTTCGTTCCCCTCTAAGAAAACCCCAGACAAATCATTGGCGTCTTATGTCTTGGCCGACTCAGAATATTATAAATTTTGTGGGGAACTCTGGGCCGCTGAGGATCACCCCGGCCGTAGTAGCTTCCTTACAGCATTAAATATAACTATGGGCACTTCCACCAAAAGGTCCACCAAGCCAAAAACCTTGAAACTTGAATAAAACATATTTCCACATGGTTTTGCCCCTATATTATTTTCTAATTAGTTGGATACTGAGCTTAACTACAAATTTGGAGTATAGTTTGATTATTTTTATGACAAACCCCACCAATATACGCAAAAATCAGTTTTTGGCTATTTATACCCGTTACTCGTAGAATAAAAGGGTATATTGTATTCGTGCAAAAGTATGTAGCAGCTAGAAGGAAGCGTTTCCGACCCCATAAAGTATATATATTCTTGATCAGGGTCACTAGCCGAGTCGATCTAGCCATGTCCGTCTGTCCGTCTGTCTGTCCGTCTGTCTGTCTGTCTGTCTGTCCGTATGAACGCTGAGATCTCAGAAACTACAAAAGCTAGAAGGTTGAGATTTTCCACACATTTTCTTGGGCTTCCTACGCAGCGCAAGTTTATTTCAGACGAGCGCCACGCCCCCTCTAACGCCCACAATCGCCCACTAACGATTTTAAAATGTGCCTGGCGGTCACACCTTTAAAGATTTCCGAGAAGTATAAATGCAATTTTGTTGTGTATATTTATACCTATCGAAATGTAGAAGACATTTTTTAAATCGGACCATTCATTAAAAAGTTATACGCAATCCAAAAATATATATCCATCTCCCTCGCACTCCCTTTAGCCGAGTGACGGGTATTAGATAGTCGGGACACGAACCCGACTATAGCGTTCTCTCTTGTTTTTTGTTATTTTTTGGACCCGTTTTCAGTTTTGAATTTATTCTTTAGGAATGCTAATATGTGACATTTTTCTAAACTGAATGCTTCATTTAAATGTTAAACTATTAAGTTAAAAGCAGGGTTCGTAAAATATCCCTCACAATATGACATTTTGCTCAACCAAATAATTTCAACATAGGGCGGTGATATTTGTCACAATAAAATGAGGAGTAACCAAGCAGGGCTGATGAATATTTTTCTGACAAAAATCACACATGCTTTATACTGCTTTCTCCTCAAAACATTTTCCTCATTTTTGACATATTGTGAGGAAAAAGTGAGGAAAATATTAACCAAAATAAGGCTACTAAGACCAAGTTTATAAAAGTTTTTCTTTGTATTATCTAGACTTTAATAAGCACTTTATATGTTTTTAAGCGCAGGTTACATCTTTTGTATCTTCTGCTAAGTCTACCACCGACTATGGATCAAATACTTTATTTCTTCACATTGTAAATTGAACATGCTTTTGAGTTGTCGGTGCTATTTGTCTTTGACTATATTGTCAATGATCATTTCATCATTTGTGAGGGATATTTTTTTCCCTCACCTTCTCATCATTTTATTTTCCTCACTCATGATGAATATTTTTCGATCAGTGAGCGATATGTATTTGAATGAGCAAAGATGACAATTTGTTTGTATCGTGATTGATATATATTTATTTTCATCACAGTCGGCTTGTTTTTGAGGGATATTTAAAATGAGTGATGTTTACGAACCCTGGTTAAAAGCAAAACAGCCAGTAATTAAGGGTTAGAGGTAAAGAAATACACTTTACAAAACGCTAAGAAAAAATGTCCCGAGCGAATGTGGTTGAAACTGCATAAAAAAAAACGGCAAACCATTTTTGAGTAAAACCAAAACCATTTCACAGCGACATGTTTGGACAACATTTAAAAACAAAATCGCATTCAAATATTCCATCAGAATTCGCTAAATTCTAGCGTTAAATGAACTTCCCCGAAAATCACTTCTATTTTTGTCCCGAACGAACTCGCAAACTTGCTATAAATGGTTCGGATGATATCAGTAACCTGAGCATGAGATCAGTATTTGTGTGTACGAGATCATAACATGAATACAATTTTGGACAAAGGCGCTTTTGAAAGGCGTTCTGAAGTGCTGTTTATAAATCAGACGTCAGAGTGTTACTGTTTTCGTTGATTTTTATTTGTCTTCACCGAACATTTCAATAATGATTAGAATCAAACGCGCGATGCGCCGTGGTTGCGTTGGTAGCAAAAGTGTGACTGACTGTAGCTTGGTAGAATAGTACAAGAATAAGCTGAATGATGTCATAAACACGTTACAGTTAGAGGTGAATGGAAAAGTACTGACCGAGACAATGCATTTGGGCAAAGCTCCTACACGTACATACAAATTAAGCTGCGCTTCATGCGCGTGTGCGTAAAGATTACGAAAGAGATTACAAAGTAAATATAACTAAGAGTACAGGCTGTCTGGTTCCCAAACATACCGGCCCCCCTGAACGGTTGTTCAGCAAAGAGGCAAAATAGCCAGTTTGGTGATTGGGCGCTTAACTACTCGTTGGGCGGTTTTGATGGTAACAACTCGGACCTTGTCGTCTTGTCCGGCATGCACCTCCAGGATCCGTCCGAGTATCCATTTACGACTAGTGTGTCGACCTTTAAATTGTCGTTCTCCAGTTGCCATTTTGTTCGCTCGTGGAGAGAAGTGAGGTATTCCATATGCCAACGTTTCCAAAACCCTTGGACCATTGCTTGTAGTTGAGTCCATCGTTCCAAGCGGTTGATGGGAACATCGAGGCGGGATGGTTCCGGTATAGCAGTATAGGGAGCGCCAGTCAGGAAATGGGCTGGTGTGAGCGGATCGAGGGTAGTATCCCCGGATGAGCAAAGATGACGAGAGTTAAGTAAGGCTTCAATCTGAATCAACACTGTAGAAAGTTCCTCGAAGGTTAATGCTGTCGATCCCATTATTCGTTTCATATGTAGCTTGATGGACCGAACTCTAGACTCCCATATTCCGCCGAAATGTGGTGAAGAAGGCGGTATGAAGTGCCACAAGATACCTTCGTTGGCGAAATAATTGGATAGATATTCATCCTTGCTGTGCTTCATGGCGAGTAGCCTCATCTCATCGAGTACTCGTTTGCTGCCATGAAACGTTGTTCCGTTGTCTGAGTAGAGATCAGTCGGCTTAGAGCGGCGAGCAGTGAATCGTTGAAAAGCTGCGATGAACGCATTGGTTGTTAGATCGGTGACTGCTTCGACGTGGATCGCCTTGGTTGTTAGACATACGAATATAGCGAACCATGCCTTTCCGATCCTTGGTGTAAGTCCAGTAGATTCTTTGATTGATATTGGGCCGGCATAATCCAACCCGGTATGATGAAAGCAGCGGCTGGCCTGAACTCGAGGCATAGGTAGATCTTCCATGATCTGGTTAGTTGTAGCCTTGCGTTGAAGGAAGCAGCGCTTGCATTGGAAGACAGTCTTTCGGACAATGTTGCGACCACCTAAGATCCAGTACTGTTGACGAAGATTTGTGAGCTTTGCATCCACCCCTGTGTGTAGGTTCGTCACGTGAGAATGTCGTACAAGTAACTCTGCGATTGGAGAATTCTTTGGAATGAGCAACGGGTGCTTGGCGTTGTAGATGAGAGTCGATCTCTCGATTCGTCCACCAACTCTGAGTAGTTTCTCATGGTCGAGAAATGTAGAAAACCGGATCAGCGGAGATTTTGCATGGAGCTGGAGTCCGTTTTCTAGCTGTGTATATTCCCTTTGAAAAGCCTTTCGCTGGATATGGCGAATGAGTTGGTCCCGAGCTGCCTGCAGTTCCGTTGATGTGAGATACTCAGAAACAGGCCTGTGGTGCGAACGAAGACGATGAATAAAGCGATAACAATAGCTAGTTACCCGTATGAGACGAGTCCAGGATGAGATCTTGTTGATGAGCAACTCGTCGATACTTTCGTCAGGAAAGCTATGTAGAATTGTGGGCTTGGCTGGACGTTCCTCGGCCCTGACCTCGAAATTTGTGTCAGCTCGGAACTTGGTTGTACATAGCGGCCATTCATATTGTGGCTGGCCCAACCAGGATGGACCCTTCCACCAGAGGTCGTGTTTTAGAAGCTTCGATGGGTGAAGTCCCCGAGATGCGCAGTCGGCAGGATTGTCCTCGGAGCGTAAGTGGCTCCAGCAGCTACGTGGGTAGTCGTTCAGAATCTCCGCCGTTCTGTTGCAGACGTATGTGTTCCAATTCCGTGGTGGTGCGGATAGCCAGTGGAGCACAATCTCCGAATCTGTCCAACAGCTCGTGTTGTTAACAGGAATGGTTAGCGATGATTTGAAAATAGTAAGCAACCGCAACAGAAGTAGTGCGGCGTTCAATTCCAGACGTGGAATTGATACTGGCTACACGGGTTTTTGCCGCTACACTGAAAAAAAAATTCAAGTCAAACGGGATTGAATCAATGCGAAACGGGATTGAAAACAGGGTAAGCCCGAATATGCTAAAATTGATCCAAAAAAGATTGAAGTAATTCCGTAGTTTTGCAAGCCAAAATAGATTAAATTTATCGTTATTGAGTAGGCTGGGATTAATTCAACCCCAAAAATCGAGATTGATTCTATCCCAAACGTACTAAATTTAATCTCGAACGGGATAGTTTCAATCCCGAAAAACAGGATAATTTTTATCCCAAACGTACTTGAATTGAGCTCGGCCGAGATTATATAAATTCCAATAAATCCCCAAAAACCCAAAAACCGATACAACATTTACAAAATTATGTTTTTATTTAATTTTTTTATTTTAATATTAAAAATACTTGATTCTAAACTACATATCATTTTGTGGATATAACCGTAAGGAAGGTGTTATTTGCTCTGACTATCAGAGAAGGAGTTGTTTTTGGATATAATCTCCTCTATACGGTCTTGATAGTTGAATATTGTTGTCAGCTGAAGAAATAATTTTTCCTCCGCGCCAGCAAGGGTCACTTTTTCACTCCTCTTTCCAATGTTACTCGATTTGAATTGGGCTGAGAATTGTAAGCAGCAGTGGCGGATCCAGGATTTGGATGTGGGGTGGTGAGTTGTTCTTAAAACAAATTTGTTGGTCAATTATTTTTCATTCCATTATTTTTTTAAAAGAGTGAGGCGCAATTTATCCCTTAAGGCCTTTACGTGGATTTGCGCATGTTAGTCAGCATTTTCAAATTAAATCTTGACAATCTATTTATAAACGAAAATAAAAAATTAGAGTCAAAAAAGGTTTTAATTTTACAAAACAACGCCTTTACATGTTGAACAGCTGTGCCCATGAAAATGTGTATACTTTACCTCATAATAAAGCTATTATTGTTGTATCGTCTTCGTCTTCCAGTTCATCAAAACTTAGCTTGGCCTCACTATTTCCGGATCACTTTCCACACAGTGAACTGACTCTCGGACACACTGAATTCAAATAGCACTGATTTATTAAACGTTTTGAATTATTGACGTATAAGTCAAAGCAGTCTACACAAGAAGTTACCAGTTTGGTTCGATTAGTGTTGGTATGAGTTGGGGGTCTTTAATTATCGGAAAATTAAAGTTTTGGCTAAGGATTTCCAATTTACACATTTTCACATTTAGATGGCGCTACCTTATTAGTTAGTTTTTATTACTGTACGATGCAGTGCCATCTGTTGGAAAAAAAACAACGTTACTCCTTTAGACTAAAAACATATAACGCGTTAGTAGTAGTTTTGTAAATCATTTGGTTTATAAAAAAAACAGGTTTGTGAACAGTTTTGAAACCCTGTTGGGATCTTACAAAAATCTTTTTCAACCAACAAGTCGAATCGAATTTTATATGACAGCTCGGAATTTAATCCCGTTCGGATAAAAAAGTCATAATTTAATCTTTTTAGGATGACATATATCTTTTCAGACTTAAAGTACAAATTTTTATTCCAGATTCGGATAAAAAAGTATTAATACAATCTTTTTTAGGATAACATAAATTTCTCGGGCTCAAAGTAATCCCAAAAATAAAAAACCTTTTATCCAAACGGGATTGAAATTTTTGATCTCGGAATAAATTAAAATCAAGAATAAAAAATTTGAATTTAGCACGCCGTTTTTTTTTGAGTGTACCAGAGTACCAGAGCACCATACGCGTGCGAGGATGCGTCGGCGAATCCGTGTAGTTGGATTTGTTAAAAGGGTGCAGCAATATATCGAGGTACTTGGCAGTGTGTGAGCGACGGTAAATCCTCTACCAGTGATCTCCAACGGGCATTCAGAGCGTCCGGAATTTGCTGGTCCCAATGTATAATGTCCAACTCTCTTGAAATATGAGCTTGAGCAGCACGGTAGTGGGCGCTGTCAAGCCGAGTGGGTCGTAGATTTTGGACAGTTGTGACAATAATTCTCGTTTGGTGGGAATAATGTTGAGATCGAACTTGGTTGTTTTGATGAACATGACGTCACGACCTGGATTCCACTGAAGTCCCAGGATCTTAACGTGTGGTTCCATGGGTGAATCCTTACTGAGTTGTATTGGGTCATAACATCTATCCCCTTGTGGAAGTGACTGAAGAAGCTGCCAGCAATTTGAACTCCATTTTCGTAGTTTGAATTTAGCTTTGTCTAAAAGTCCAATCAGCTCCTGTTTGAGCAGCAAAAGATCGTCAACTGTATCGCATCCAGTTGGAATGTCGTCCACATAAGCGTCGTTTGACAAAGCTCGTGATTCGGCCGGGTATTCGAGGCAATGATCGTCAGCTAATTGCTTTAAAACTCGAACGGCCAGAAATGGGGAGGGTGCCAAGCCGTAGGTGACGGTTAGAAGTCGGAAATGAAGAATCGGTTCCTTCTCATTCTTGCGCCACACAATGCGTTGAAAATTGGTGTGAGGCTTGGCAACTTGAATCCCTCTAAGCATTTTTTCTATATCTTCACATAGAACATATCGGTGCTGTCGGAAACGTAGGCAGACTCCGAGCAAGTCCCGTTGGATCGGTGGCCCAACATGAAGTCGATCGTTGAGCGAGATCCCAGAACTTTCCTTTCCAGATCCGTCGAAGACGACCCGACACTTGGTAGTCAGGCTGTCCATCTTGATGACGGCGTGATGTGGTAAATACACGCAAGTGTCCAGGCTTTCCCCAGCTTGGACTGAGGTCAGCTGTTCCATATGACCACGCTGCAAGTAGTCATACAAAAAATCCTCGTATTGCTGTTTAAGTACCGCTCTAGTGAAACGAGGCGGTTGGTGGCTTGTGGTAAAGTTGATTCAATAGGAGGTGCTCGCTCTTTGAAGTGGTATTCGACAATATAAACACCGTCCTTGGAGCGCGTGTGATTGCGGGCAAAATGACTCTCTGTGGGATCACTGGAGTCCAAGAGAGCTTGGCTAGGTTGCACACTGTCCATTTCCATGAATGATCGAACCATCCTGTCAAGGTCCGCGTGATGGGTCACGGCCGGAGTGATGTGGTCATTGCAGGCATTGTACGAGCCTGCAATAATCCTACCAAAAATTTTAGCTATAGGGTAGTCCTTACCAAAATATTTTCTTTCTCCGGTATATAGACCCCAGAGTTGATCAGATCCAACGATGACATCTATAGATCCCGGAGTGCAGAACGTAGGGTCTGCTAAGGGAAGCGCTGAGATTTTCTTCCAGGTTGTAGACGAAGTGTCAATAGCTTGCGCTGGAAGCGATGTCGTTAACGAGGGCAGTATGAAGGAGACCATCTCGATGTGGTGATCCGAATGACGAGAGCGCAGCTTAAAAAGGGCGCGTCCGCGTGTGAGGCCAGCGTTGTTGGTAGCCAGACCAAGAATTTAAGTCCATGCATGCGTTTGATGCACGCCAATCCGCTGGACAAATGATTCCGATGCCAAAGTTATTGTGGATCCCGTGTCTAGGAGCATCCGACAAGTTGTTGTATTTCCCCAGGCGTCGATTACGTCTGCGAGAATGGTTGGCAAAAGGGTTTGCGAACCTGCAACCGGAATATTTTCCAGGGTATGATGAGGTTCCAGCTCGGGATGTTGATGGCAAATTGCTGTTGCTTACGCTAGGTGGCTCCTGGTAGGTTCCAGTGCCAGACATCTGCGGCGGGTCGTGAACTAATGTATGATGTTTGCGGCGGCAGACCCGGCAGGTGTGTTTTGATGTGCAATTGCCGACCATGTGGGAGGCACTAAGGCAATTGAAACAGAGCTTTCTGTTCCCCAGAAATTCTCGGCGTGTGGCGACGTCCAATGATAAGAATTGATCACACCTGAACAGTGGATGATCCTGCTGGCAAGATAGACACTTGTTTTCCTCGCGTCTCTGATGAGCGTCAGCGTGGTGTGTTGTAGCGGCTCGTCGAGCTTGTGGCGCGCGAACAAGTTGGCAGGCTTCTAAGGTGTCGCAATGTGATGTGAGAAATGTTAGAAACTGGTTGATGGTCACATTTAGACTTTCAGATTCTGCGCACTGGGCCCATGCTTGGCGAGTTTTAGGATCCAGTTTCAATAATATAAAAATTAAACAAGGATCTCGCTGCTCGCATTATAGTCCTCTCAATCCACGAATTACCTCGTCTGCGCCGTCAGCCAATTTTCGCACGGCGCCGATGCTGATGGTGGTGGCACTAGGTAGAGTTAAGAAACTGTTGAGGAACGATCACATAATTAGCGACTGTTTGTTATATCGCTTTTCCAACCTGTCCCAGGCTTCACTGTAGATTTCATTAGTAACGGGAATGTGTTTTACTAATGTGAGCGCCTCGCCGGACAGGTAGGACTTTAAATAGTGAAATCTTTGGCAGTCAGTGAGTCCTGAGTGTGATGCGATGGATGCCATGAACATGTCCGAAAAATGTTTCCAGTCTTCATAATTTCCCGAAAAGGTTGGAAGCTTGATTCGCTCGAACTGGAAGTCCACATGGCTTCTGTGGGACGTGTTGAGGGATTTGTCAGGAACAAGAAGAGTAGAATCAGCGAATTCAGCCTTTAACTCTTCCAGCGTATTACTAAATACAGCATACGTATCGTAGTGTTTTTCCTCGTATACATCAAAGTCTTCCTCAGGGTTTTCCCAACCCTCTTCAGACTCATAGGCGTACAGCTCCTCTGTGAGCTTTACGAACCGTAAATAGTTTTCCTGTAGTTGAGCCAATCGCGCGACTAGGGTCGGGATTGACTGAATATCTTCCACGAATTTAGTGGCATTGTTATGCGCACGTGTAATTTGGCTTTTGCAAAAGCCCCGTTGTTGAGTGACACTCCGCATGGCGATTGAGGTTAGGGACGGTTCTACACGACGCAGATATCTATAGATCACCGTTGAAAAATTCTAATTTCATTGAAATGTCCCGAAACAAACGTTTCTGGCTATTCGACTACTCGAAGCACCAATTTTTTAATGTTTATAAATCAGACGCCAGAGTGTTACTGTTTTCGTTGATTATACCGTTACTCGTAGAGTAAAAGGGTATATTAGACTCGTGCAAAAGTATGTAACAGGTAGAAGGAAGCGTTTCCGACCCCATAAAGTATATATATTCTTGATCAGGGTCACTAGCCGAGTCGATCTAGCCATGTCCGTATGTCCGTCTGTATGAACGCTGAGATCTCGGAAACTACAAAAGCTAGAAGGTTGAGATTTTCCACAGATATTCTTGGGCCTCCTACGCAGCGCAAGTTTATTTTAGCCGAGCGCCACGCCCCCTCTAACGGCCACAATCGCCCACTAACGATTTTAAAATGTGTCCTGCGCCCACATCTTTAAAGATTTCCGAGAAGTATAAATGCAATTTTGTTGTGTATATTTATACCTATCGAAATGTAGAAAACATTTTTCAAAT